TATCAGAATTTGAAAGTAATGACATGCTAATCTATGTTACTGAAGAGCTAGATTGTACTGTGTCTGGATCAGCTTCCCCCCATTTGATGCCTTCCATTTATATTGCACTTCAACTTCCATAATACTCCATCAAGCATGGCAGTGCTAGAAGGTATGAGATGCTAAAATCTGACCTTGATACAGAATAATGTTCACTGTAGAATTTTATATGCTTTGCTCTTTACAGTAACTTTCCTACCTTAAGCGTAATTTGGTTTATGGTTGTTGACAAATATTTTGGGCAACAGAATTCTGCTCTTTGCCTTCCAGTGCTTTCATTGTGGCTCATGTGGAAAATATTCGTTCAGATTGCAATGATGTTCACATTCAGCTTCTCAGAATCAAGATATATCAAGCTTGACAAGGGCTTTTCCCTAGTTGATTCCTGCCTCACCTCTAGTGTGGGAACTAGAAGGAGAGTATTAGCAGACATCAAAGAGACTGGCAGGTTTATTTGGAATACTGTAAAATGGGAATATTCTATTTTATTCAAAAGAGAATCATTTGTAATTGTGTGATATTTGAGTTTATTATAACAGGGAAAAAATAGCTGCATATTCCCATGGTGTATATTGCTTCCTTATTCTAGAGGATTAAAATTAACAGCTTGCTGTAAATTGTAGGAGAACTCTTGAAAGCTGTGGCTCTGATGTCAGCTTCCTAACATTTAAATCATCTGGGGATTTATTGCAATACGTCAGCATCTTTTTAAATAATTTGTCATTTTTGTCTACATCACTGTAAATTCTGTTCTGTGATTTTTAAACCATTTTGTTCTCTTTTGGATGATTCAGATATAGACACATTTCTTTGATAGAAAGTATAAAATAAACCCATAAATAATGTATATACAATGTTCATTTCATATATCCTACAACATTGAAATTGTAAAGGATTGTACAATAAACTTTCTGCTGAAATCCCATCACATTGAGAGATTTAGAATGCCTGTTTACTTGAAATAAATCCTCCTGTATTCAGTAGGGCTTAGTCTCATATGTTTACTTGGAAATAAGTCTTAGTGAACTTTGTGGAGCTTATTTCTGAGTAGATATCTATAGGATTCCACTTCTTTACTTCCATAGTGGTAAAATGGTGATCGTTGTGTCTATAGTGAGTATAGTCAGAAGGGCAGCAGTTCCTTCCACTTAACTGTCTGCAAAACAAACAGTGGTGATAATAGGCTTGTGTAGTACTTCTTCCCTTTTCTTGGGTTTGGGTTTTGTGTAGATGTGTAAATCTCCAAACTACATTTAGTGAGAACAGATCATGGTCAAATTTGTTTCAGATCATGGATTGCTGTCAAATGACAATTTAAATAAAATGCAGTTTCCTGAAATTGCACGTAACAGGGAACTGTTGGGAAAACTTATCTTTTTGACTTACTGGGTGGAAAAAGAAGGGAGAGCACAGAAGTCGGTGTCTTCTCAGATTGCAATATTTCATGGTTTCCCGTTGATCTGAAAAAAGCCATCCATGAGACTTTGAAAAATGAAAGAGCCAAGGCAGTGTTTTATGCATGAATATGTTGTTCCTGTATAAGGAAGAAAAATATAAAATTCTATAGCTGCTGTGTTGTGATGCAGCATTTACTTCAGTAGGGGTTATGGATTTATTTATGGAAAACACCATGGTTTACACAACTGGGAGAGGACCAAAAAATAACAAACTGAGGTAAAGCTGTTTTATTAAAACTTGGACACTAACACTTTATAGAGAGGAACTGAAAGTAGCACACAACCTCTCCTGTTGTGTTGTCGTTGCATTTCTTTGGGCAAGTAAATAGGAGACTTAGAAATTATAGCTTATCACTGGGTTTAAAGCATGTAATGACAAATTCTAAAGTGCTAATGGCCTTTTTCATTCTATAGCAGAATAGCAATAAAACTGAATAACGTACTTGGTTTTATTTACATATTTAATGACAGGATTCTTTACATCAGTTTCTTAAAAAACTGGAAGAGGAGAAGAAGAGTCTCCAGAACCAACTGAAGGAGTATGAACTTAGACTGGAACAAGAGGCAAAGGTTTGTATTCTCTACCACAGCTCTTTTAAAACACATCCATCTTCTGGTGCTTCATGATTGCCTGTTACATTGATCAAAATAATTCAGCCATTGTATAATATACGTAGTCACATGTACACACACATACAATCCTGGACTATGCCTATTCTCTAATTTTCTGTTGTATTCACTTATCTGTTCTTTTGGAATTTAGGCTTACCATAAAGCCAATGATGAACGCCGTGCGTACTTAGCAATGATTTCACAAGTAAGTGTAAAAATCTGTGTAGCCTGATAAATTGTCTTCAACCAATCATTACTCTTTTCTTTCTGACTTTCCCTGTCTATTTTAAGCTGATTCACCTCCTAGCCAGAAAATTCTGCAAAGCTGACTCAGCTGGAGTGCTGGAGGGAGATGTTAATCAGTCTTGCCATTTTATTATTTTTTTTTGCCCTTGTAAACTTAAAGATCAGATATATGATGTTACTGATCCTCAACTCTCAACTAATCTGTGTATTGTATTAAAGTTTATTGCTTGTACACTCATAAATTTTATCGTTCATTATTCTTCTGCTCCTGCTCCTGGTTCTTTCTCTCCCAACTCTATTAAAATTAGTGGAAGCATTGCATCTGTACAAGAGCACCATGTTGTGGAAGATTTTATTTCACTGTTGTCATGTAATGAACCTTTAGATGTAATTTTGTTGGAATTTTTGCTTCAGATTGCAAGTAAGAATAAATGTTCCTATCTTACATATCACCAGTCCATGATATTTTCATATATGTTCATTCATAAGTCAGTTTGGGTGTAATTTGCTTTTTTTAAAAAAAAATGTAGAAATTCAGTGTTTGGAAGCATATTTTTAAATCCCCCAGAATGGGATTATCAATGATTATTTGTTTGCTTCATCTTCCCAGCATGCTTTGTGAAAGTCCTTGATGGAACCTGAGACTACTTTTCCACCTAATAGAACCAAAATTGCATTACACATATGCGCGCACGCACACACACACACACACAGTCTAAGATATTGTAGGAGGACAGCAGTGATACACTATGATAGCCAAAAATCAAGAGGAGTCTGGTATCAGCTTTTCAGACTAACGTGTTTTATTAAAAGGCATAAAATTTAAAATATATTTCCGTTCACACATTTTTTTAAAAAAGGGGGGACAGTCCTTGAAAGTGAGAACAATAATTGGATTCCATTTTTAAGGATAATCTCCATCTTCAAAATCTAAAAGTATATAAAGACCCAGTAGGCTTTCCTTTACAAAAATAGAATGCATGATGTAAAAGCTTAAAATTAAAGCCTGTCATAATAATTTAATTTTCTTCAAGCAGCTTACAGAATAAATTCTTATAAAAATATAATTAGCAACATAATGAAGAGCCGGAACAGAATTACAGAATATAAAAATAATGTTACTATAGTAATTTTAGTAGAATATTATTTCTACCTAAAATGTTATCTCTTCTATAGCCGTCTGCATAGTTTCTCAAAGAAAGACCACTGGCTCTCCAGAAGTTAGGAAACTATAGCTCCTGATATCTTTCACAATTGCTTATTTTTGCTGGAGCTGCCAAATTGAAGTTTAGCAACATTTGAAGAGCCACAGAGGACTAAGCTTCAAAATTCATGAATGTCATTTCTAGAGCATAGAGTATTTAAAATACAGGAGAAGTATTTTTAATTAGTTTTTTTTTTAAGTTCACATTGGAAATGTCAGTCTTTTAGGTGACAAGGCCCTAAACTTTTTAGAGCTTTAAATATCAAACCTAGCAGTTTGAAATGTTTCTGGAACCATATGAATTGCTACTGATCAGCTTGGGATAACAGTATTATTTTAATGAATGTTCAAAAAAACAAATGTTTATAGTGAAAGCTAGAGATGGGCCATATGTTAGTATTAACATGCCACCACTTGTATTCCCCCAGCCAGTTCTATCAATGAGGCCTTGCTTGGGAGAGATGGAGGGAAGGATAATCCCATTTGTTTATTTGTCTGTTGGTTTTACTAGACTTATATTCCATTTCAGTCACAACTGACTCTGAGCAGCATTTGCAATATACTGCTGTATTTTGAGCAATAGTTTTTAACTGTAGAAAGCTGAATGTCTGAAAAATGTTCAAGACGGAATGTTCTCTGTTTCTTGCATTGTTTGCAAATGTATATTCTTTAAATGTGCGCACAACTGAAAACAGCAAAACGTCTTGGGACTTTCCAAAGATTAACAAATGTATTATTGTAATTCTTTTCATGAATCATAGCCTGCTTCAACAGATGCACAGAGTATAGTTTTCAGAAATATATATATACACACAACTGCTGTGGAAGGAAGGAAGGGATAGAAGGGAAGGAAAATTGTGAATGGAGAGGCAAAATTATCTAAGTGACTATAAACAAAGCAGTCGTTATGACAATCACATTCATGTGTTATGTTATTTTATTACTTAATGTATTTACTACACTTTTGTAGGAGAAATTTCTCTAGCGAGTTCTTTAGTAATGGGGATCAGACACACTATTAATAGTACCAGAGAAAGCTGAGGCTACTAAAAGGGATTGGAGATGCAACCTCTTCATAGAGACTTATGCAAATTATGGTACACTTATGATTGGTGCACTAAAATTAGTAATTGGTTACAATAACACATTTTATTGGATATAGCAGAATATCGTGTGTTCAGTGAGGACAGAATGATGAGGTAATGTGGCAGTACTACAAAGTATACTACTTGAGTTTGACTAAGGCCATGT